AAATTTAATTTTATTTATAATTCATTAAACAGTTATACAAACACTGCGGGTATACCTCATTGTATCCTAATATACCGACTTCGTTGGTATAGGGGCCGGCATTACCACCTTTGCTGCCACTGGCACAGGCAGCACCTATACCATGTTGGGCAGCATTGGCCAGGGTGAATGATCGGCCATATGTTCCCATTCCCATCATCTAATTTAGGGTTATTGTAAAAATAAGTTAAATATTTTCAAAATGGCAACCTTATAACATAATTAATTATAAACTGTATATTTTTAAAGACAATAAGATTGGTACATTTTTACAAAAATTTATACATATCTTTGGGTCCTCTAATCTCAACTTTAATATTTTATAAAAATTATATTATCTATGAAAGGTCAATCAATAATTTTCTATACTAATTATGAATATTTTAATAGTGTGCAAATATTTTCTACTTATACTGTGTATGAATATAATTTTACAAACAATTTATAACCTCTACAAACTGTCAATTTGTTAATTATACATTTATCAAGGTATTATTGTAATTCATTGGATAGTTAGTGGGTGGAAAACAATAGGTTTATTAAAGTTATTTTAAACTAAAACACATAATAACCTGTATTTTAAATTTATTATAATTAACACACATTTACTTTCTCTTATGTATTGATACGCGGGGACAATCTTACTGGCCATGAATATTTAACTTTTGGTATTAACACAAATTAACCCAGCTTATGTAAATAAAAATCTTCAAAACATTAAACAGCACCTACCAATTTCTTAGGGTTAGCCCCCTGTTTAATCCAATACTCCACGCCATAGGACACCGTCAACTCCTTGTCCTCCTCCGAAGCTTTAGGGTCGGGATATAGGGGAGCGTTATGTCCTAAAAATACACACAAATAAGCAAAATACCTAGATCAATTTGTTAGCACCCAAACTGACCTGTCTTATTCTCCCAGGCGCCGCCATGAAAATCATAAGCCATTACGTTAATGAAGTCCAACAACTCATTCAACTGTTTCACGTCATACGAGATGTCAATCGTCTTTTTGCCCGCACTTACAGCCGCTGACAGTAAATAGTTGTGTGGTTTAAGGGCAGCCCGGAGCTCACGTAACAGCGATATATAGTTTTCCTTATCTTTCGGATTACCGGGTACGCGGTCGGCCTCACCAACAGCTTTAAAGCCCGGGTACTCCCTATGCAATCAAAAGTGGCAAATGTTAGATAGCTATCGGAGATACAGTTTTTCATGTTTTGCATACCAGTCCACATCGAGTCCATCAAATTTATAGGTTTGTATAAACTTAACGACAGAGTTAACAAACTTTTTCCGTGAGTCCGGACTACTGGCCATTTGCGAGTACTTGTCTGACCCCTCATTCCAACCCCCGATTGATATCATGGCTTTCATATTATGGTTGACATCACGCAAGTGCTCAATACGCCGGTACATACCTGTCCACCACAATAAAAGGGTTCGCTATCAAACATATGTTTAATTGCTAGATTATGCTGAGCCTACTGACCCTCTCCCCAGGGTAGACCACTTTTGTAGTCAGTGTCGCCTAAATCCAGATCATTTTCCATGACCTCTATCTCACCGCCGGCGCCGAGTTTGGCGAACCCGTACATCATGTGTGTACACAACAGGGGGTTAGACATCTCGGGTGCGAACTATGGTATACCATTGAGCAGGGTTATATTTGTTTATATTTGATAAGGTTACGCCAATAATACAATAATACTATTTAAAACACATACCTTTCCTTTGCCTCCACCACCATCTCTATACCACGACCATGAGCCCCAATAGCACACCACGTTATATGGTGTCCCATTTGTCTCTGGCAATATAAATTACATTTAAACTAGTATTAATTTATTAATTTATAAAATTGTTAATTAATTACCATTAAGTGGTGTGGCATTTATAGCTACTATTAACACCACTAATAAATTCAAAGTAATCCACATTTTATTGATTTGTATTAATTATTTCACTACAAATAAAATACTATTTTCTCAACCTTTATATAAAAATTATATCTAATAGTGTAGATAACACCAGGTTAATCTATTATATAGAGAGCATCATTTTGATAAAAACATTAAGTACTTAAAGTGTGTGCATTGAATTTTGTATAAGTTATTAAAATATTGTTTGACCTTTAGTTTATTTTAAACTAATTATTTTTGGTTAATTTATTACCTCGTGATTTTAATAATTATGTTAAATAAACCAGACATAATACCAGGTGATTATTTGTAAAATTTATGCTTATTAAATCTCTTGTAAACAATAAAGATCAATCATTGTTCACGTGTTCATAATTGATGTAATGTAGTTGTTAAGTGTTTTTAAATTGATAATTAGTATTGGTAAGTGCTTAGACATTATATCTGTAAATTACGTTCATATGACCCGGATATAAAAGCTGTCAAATTCTCTAAATAAGTAATTGTAAGAAATTAATACAATTTCTTACTCGTTAGTAAATTAAGTGACAGTGGTTTTGATTATTAGTACCAAACCTTAAATGTTGCTAACATTTAAAATGCAACTTGATCATATTTTATCTGACTGATGAGTAACATTTTAATAATTAATCAAATAACATTAATTAAACAAACCAGATTATTTCAAATTACTATGACATTATAATAAATTGAAAAATATAACTATACTGTATTCATTGTAAAGCGAGTCAGTAATGTTTTTATTTAAATTTCATGTAAGTCCAGTGTGAATAAAACTGTAACTAAATATATATTAAACATAATTATTCAATTATATAAACATTTAAATAATTAATATTGGTAACATAGAGCGGCACACATATTTTAAATTATTTTAATTAAAGTTTAATCATATTATGTTTTCACTTATTCAAAATTTTAGTTTAAAAAATTTAACAAGGCAAAATAGGCACAAATAAGTGCATATGTTTTCGGATTAATGTTTTTTAACAACCTCTATATCTAAACAATCCTTTCTATTAAAATCAATAAATTATGATTAGATTTAAAGCTAAAAATTTGAAAATAAATGTGCTTGCTTCTACATTATTGGTAGGTTTAAAAACCTTAAAAATAGTGGTGTGTTTATAAAGTCAGCTTACTTTTGTACAGTTTTTAAAGTCAAAACAAAAATTCAATTTAAATAAATGCAAAAGTCTCCAAATTGTACATTTAATTTTTATTAAATAACTTAAAATATAAAATATTTCACCAATGTCACTTTATTGTAACATTACGGCGCGTGTGTCGGTGCCGTTGGCATTGGAGTCACATGTATTTCATGTATCTCAGGGTCAGGTTCACCGGTAATACCATTGAGCTCTTGGCTAATAGTCTTAATCAATGGGTGCTTACGTCCGCCGCAATAGCCATGAAAGTCGTCCGTATCGATGGACCACACGATAGCACCTCCCAGTCCTTTGCCCTTCAGGTACGACAGCTTATCCTTAAGGGACATCTCGTCATCATAGCCCACCCATTGTTTATCACTCACGGCGTACACTACTTTCTGAGTGTCATCCCTATAGGCTGTCCACCCGGCGCTCAAAAACTCGCAAATCTATGCAAATTGAAAATGATTTTGTTTTTATTAGTTATTTATATAGTTATGTGAATATAGTGGGTATACCTCATTGTAACCTAACATTCCCGCGATTCCAGTATATGGCCCCTCTTTACCGCCTTTCCAGCCGATATCTGCCGGCGCACCGATGCCATGTTGAGCAGCATTTATCAAGGTAAATGTACGGCCGTAGGTTGCCATTCCCATCATCTGTTTAATTGAACCATACATTTAAATAAACCTAATATATCGCAAACTGTAGTTTTTAAGTTTCAAAGCTAAGCAGGCACATATTTTTGTAAATCTATATTTATCTTGGGCAATCAACAATCAAATTGTGTTTGATTATTTTAAAATAATGGTTTTTAAAATAAATATAACTATTATAATATGATATTATTAATATCAATATTATTAGCAAAGTAAGGGGCTATAGTACAAATGTTAATAACTGTAAACATACAGTCATTCCCAATATAGATTGGAACGGTTTTTCTAAGAAAACCACATGAAGACAATTTTTGATT